CTCGCGATTTATTAATTAATTCATCCCCCTCTTGGACACATAGACCATATAAAAAACCTACGATAATTCTAAAACTGTTGTTCTCTACGTTCTTCCAAAAGAAAAATATAATTTCCACCTCGTTATCGAGGGTGATTCAATTACACCCCCACCACCCCCGAGAACACACTGAACCCCTAAGACCCAACGCATCGTCGGTTGGCCGGGGCTCGCGAAAACACATCCGTGGATTACATCGTTGCGCCGGCCGGAGTTCTAATAGCTAAGTCAGGTACGCCGGATTACGCTAAACTATTACCAGCCTTCAAAGCTAGGGACCACCGAGCCTTCCGTTGTGTATACAGGGTGTCCCGTATTGGCGTGGAATCACGGCGGAATGACGCTCAGCCAAGTGGGGAGACGAGATACAGAGAGAGAGTGAGATGAAAAGCCGTACCCGCGGCAGCGTGTGCAGATAATCGGTACAAAGCCTTTCGTCGAATGACAAAGGAGAGCACTGGCCAACCTCGTGGTTCTATATGCCAGCGCGTGCATACACGCTCGCATTCAGCCCGGTATTATTATACTGGGTGACGGCGTGCCACCGCGAGAGGCCCAGTTTCGGCGGCATTATTCCATTCGGGGAAACGAGACGCAGTCTTGCCATCGGGGATTCCGTCCCCTTTCGTACAGACGGATCCATCGTGGAAGTGTCTTCTTTTTTCAGTGGAGATTGCCTTATTCAGTGGAGCCTTTATTTCAGTGGACGATCGATCGACAAAGCGTTCGATGATTGGCGGAAGCCACCGATTCCCTGCTAAAAAACCGTGGCACGCCTCTTCCTCACGGCGAAGAAGCGTCAGAGGGCAACATCTTATTTCGATAAAAGTCACGGAAGTCGATTAATCACTAAGGGGCGCATTGTGACATTCAACCGAGCGGCGGGTTCAGGGTTTCAATATTATCGATACTCAACAGCGGGGGTTGGCATCCGCGTCTATTGAAAGAGAGTTTATCAATAGAGCGCAGGACACACTCTTGCTGTGTCCGCCTGTAAACCGCTCTAACCCCACTGCTCGGCTTCTCGAATAACCTTCCATGATGAGTACACACCGCCTCTAGACGAGGATTTTTCATAGGGAAACCAACCAAGGCCCTGCCTACCATCCTAGTCAAACAATCGGCTACCCCCTTGAACACTTTCGTCACTCTAGATTTATCCATCCTCAATTACATCCACGGGATTTAAGGATAGAGACTAAAGCTGCTCTTCGTGGGCGAGAAAAAAATTGTGCCTCGTCTTTTAGGGGTAGTTTAACCGGCCGAGCACGTACGGAAGAAAAGATTACCCGTGGATCCGTGGGACGAAAATACTTCGAGTTGATAGGGTCAAGAGGATTCTGGAGAGTGATACAACTATCTCTGCTTTATGCTTGGCTTTGATTAAGCTCGGAAGAAGTAATTCACCTCGAGAATAATATCGAGTACAGACTACGTTCAGGAGATCTGGATTTTAATAGGCAGGCATGCCTACTGATGATGCACGTACCTACCACAGTAGATTCAGGCGTCAATAATCAGGCCCATCGACTTTTTCTCTCTAGTAGATACAGAATGCACTAGTTCGGCGCGATTATCCGTTTCCCTTTGATTTAATTACCGTTTCTATTTCGTCCACGGATGGAGGCATCAGGAACGCCACGAAACGTTCCTGTAGATCGATGTTTGACGTGAATCCACTGTTAATCCCGGCTTTAGGAACAAAAAGACAGGAGAGACCGCGATGAATTCGGCGGAATACACGGTTTCCTGACCAACAGACGATTCCCTCCACGGTCCAGTTAGACGATACACACAGAATTAAGCTGGGAGAAGTACTCCACCGAGTACTGAGCAAGTACGATGGAATACCGTGCCTATAGAGCTATAAACAACGACAAAAGGATACCGAGTGAGCGACGAGCATTGAATGTACGAGAAAAGGATTGTATGACGGTGAACGCTGACGATGGTGTAGCGACGTTCGCTGTTGCTTTTGGCTCACATACACCTGTGTGTCACGTACATACATACGCGTCTGTCTCTCTGCGGCCTGGTTTTCGGTGTATCCGCGCTGCCGACAAAAAAGAGGAGTATTTTAGCCGGCGTCCATACGAGCCCAGGGACGAAAACAATGTAGCTTTTGTGAGGGTGGTAGGGGGGGGGGGAAGAAACGGAAAAGTCAAAGAGAGAGCCCAAGAGCGATTGAAATGCTCGGTCGTCTGTCTCTTGTCCACATCCCTTCACCCTCCTCGTCGCCATCCTCCTTACTTATACACTTGTCTTTCTTCCATCGCGTAAAGACGCGTCCTTTTGCACTCGGTCATCTGTCCGTGCTGTGTTTCTCCCTTCATAGCCGAATCGGTTCATCCACGCTTTGATTGCGAGACACAACGCCTTCACCGATTGCGAAATCGTCGATTCCTCTTGGACTGGAACGATCAATCCATACTCATTTATGCACAGTTTGTCCCTACTGTAAGGTAATTTGTTTTCCGCATAACTCCGTTACATACACTACTGTCCCAACTGTGTTTTCTACAGCGATTGCTGAATAGGCTAAGTACCCAAACAAGGACACGCCTTGTTCCTAGAGGGACCAATTGCTGATAAGAAGTTCCTCGATTCCTTCAAGTACCTCGCCTTCACCTCTTAAAATATACATATATATGTTAAGCAACAATTGTCCATTTTCGACGTGTATGTATCCTATCGACAACGATTCGTAACTACTAACCCCTCCCCCGAAAAGTCGTCGACGACAAAGAAATTCTTTTTTCGGTCGAACCTCGGGGAGAAGCCTAGCCCTAGCAGAATGGGAAAGTAACGACACGCGGGACGAAGCCACGGCCGGCAATAGAAGAGGGTGGTATGTGCAAGAGGGGCCCGCGAGTATTGGTAGACACAGATGCGAAGGGGGTGGTTGCAGGTTGATAGTCAAGACTGCCTTCAGATTCCAGAGTGAAGCATTGTGTCCCGAACGCGCATTGTCCTCCCGTCACCGGGAACTCGACAATGCCGAGTCCGTAAGTTAGTAACCCTACCGTAAAAACTTATCTCCACCCCCCAAACCATCGACCTCCAGCCTCCGTGATTCCCGTTCGATTTCCAACGTCCCTGCCTACTCTTCCGCTTTTCCGCTCCAGCTCGTGACTTCTGCCCGCCCTTTTTTTCACTTCGTCCTCCTTCGATCAACGGGAACCAACGATTTCTCCTTCCAACTGCCAGTTAACCGTGTTGTCTTGAATTTATCCTACCGAAAAAACCATTCGTCGAGCTATCAATGATGCCACAGATACCGAGATATATCTCAGTTCATCTTCGATTATTTTATAAATTGATCACGTTACACCGACTTCCTGGATTTAATTGATGAAACACTGTTCAGACGTGGGCAACCGACGTCGATCAACGACCGAGTCGAAGAAGTCGATGATCAAGCAAAACGGGTAGAGGCACTCACGGGTCGGAAGTGAACGTCCTGGGGACCGGATACAAACATTAGGGGTTGGCGGGCGGTCCTCTCGTTGGGACTCAAGTTGCCCGAGCAGCCGGACAACGCGTGGTCGCCGGACAAAGCTCTTCTAATTGTCCCCATCAACGACGAAGAATGGACCGCGGGCCTGCCGCTGACAATTTCATTTGTAATTTGCATAAGGCTTATTAAAATCACAATGGACCTGGACCCACGGGGATGCTCGATCGAGGTGGAGCGCGCGCGGGTTTCTGCTGCTGGTCGTTTTTTTTTTTCTGGTCCCTAGCTCGATAGAGAATAATCGGGGGTCACCGCTGCGCCAGTAATTCGGGTTTAATAAGAACCAGGACTCGCTTCAAGATCAATTGCTACTGTGGATTTAAGTATATAATTGAAATTACTTACTCCGTGGAAGACCCATCCGCGAGGCTGTCTTATCCATGACTATACAACTACAGAACACTCGAATCACTGTCACTTCCAAAGTTTCAGCCCTTGAACGTAAAACGATTAATGTTATTGTATCGTATTTTGCGCGCGTGAAATTCGCCGAAAATACTGCAAATCACACGCAACGATCAGTCAAAAAAATCGCGACGCGTTAACTAAGAGTAATGTTTTTTTTTTTTAAACCCGTCTCGGGTTAATGAACTGCATAAAGGAAAGAAGAAAAGAAGAAATATTCGTTACGTACGAAAATTCAAAGAAAAACTCCTTTTTTACGAACCGTGGACACCGTTAAGGATTTCCACGTTTCCCGAAATGTGTCGCGCACGTGAAAGACGGCACGGGACTGAACCATCTCAAAACGCTATCATATCGCACGCCGCCACATTCCCCCACCAGTTTCTACCAAAATGCGTCTACGCATCTCTCATTCGCACGTCCAGACACGGGGGAATCATCCTGAAACATTTTCGCAGAAAAAAATCATACAGAATCATCTCTCGTTCGACAATCCTATCAACGTTAAAGTCATTGAAAAACTGTTTTATTAGAAACACAGAAAAACGTACAATCGTAAAAAGCCTCGATCGATCTTCCGTTTCTTACACACTAATATTATCGGTGCAGAATTATGTTCATCGCAAAATCAAGGGGTGCAAATTCATTCGTTCGTTATATCAAGAGATTAGTGCCTGACTCTCGGACATCGATTCTCCCAAATGCAAACGCGATTAATGTCGCGAACGTATCCTTCTTCGCAGACGCAACCGGCGACGCAGTTTTTCGTCTGAAAGCAACCGGCAGACTCCAGAACATCCACATTGTCGCAGGTCTTTTCGCACGCTGGATTCGCTCCGCACGATCTATAAACCTCGTTCGTTCCACACGTCTCGATTTGCACTATATCAGGTTCTTAAAGCAAATAAACAAACCGTGTATTTCCCGTAACGTCTTGTTTCGTAACTGAATAGAGAATATAAAAGGGGAACTTACTGTAAAGTACCGCTCCCATCGATGTTTCGAGACTGGCGAGCAGGAAAAACGCCACGATCGAAACGCAACTTACGTGCAAGAACTTCATTTTCCTCGAAGAGTCGTTGAACAAATGCGTGGGTTAATCGTGCAGACCATGTTTAAATACTTAAATGCGAATGTGCAGAGCGCGATATCCAAATCAGTGGGCGCTATCAATAAACCAGTTTCCCGTCTGGTGGTAATGGTCTGGAAATGGGCGCATCGACGAGATAAAAAAAATATAACAAATTACACACAAAACAAAACTATACACGTATGCATTTTTTTTTTAACGGGTTAAAGCGTTTCAAAGAAGATAGGCGAAGAAGTCTTGTTGACTTTGTGTTTTCGTGTTATGTATTTGCGGATCTCTTTGAATTGGACAGTAACTCGTTTACATACAACATATATAAGTGTCTTACTAGGTAAATTACTTTGTATGATACCTTAAAATAAGTATTCGTAATAAAGAGGGGGCCATGATAAACTGGTGTTCCGGAACGAAATCATTGCGGGATGAGGATCCAAGAAGGATTCGCTCTCGACGTATGACGAATCCAAACTGTTTTCCTCGCTATAAATAGAGTCTCTTCCTCGTGCCACAGGCGATTCAAGCGCGACTCGAAATCGATGTAATCCGTATGCTTCTCTCGTTTTATCGTCAAACGCAAAATGATCCAAATGTAAGGCGTGTGACGCTTAAAACTTCAACAGAAAAGAATCCCAAACGGAAAGTAAACCTTTCGTTTCCCTCGTTAAAAAGAGTCGAAGGATTATCCTCTAAACCTGATAATGAATGATAATGAAAAGCCACTCGCGTGTGCGTGAATTGTGTAACTGCGACCGAATACTTTCCTTCAATGGTGCACGCTACAGTTGAAGCTTCTCTTTTTCTTTTAGTTTTCTTTCCACCCTTAATACTTACGCGACATTCCAGTTATAAAGTAAATAAAACGACGCTACGATATGAAAATAAGTACTATGATCGAAGTATACGTGTAAAATTTTGCCGCTAACGATAATAAAAACAAGGAAACCGAGGGGGCGTTCTTTCGCACGATGTACTCGTTCTCGATGCAAACGCGCATCCTGTTCTATGAATATTTACTACTTATCATAGATATTTATGCACGAGCATGACAATCGAGCGAAACGACGCTGGTTCGCCAACTTATCGCCGGCTCGATAAACGTTAAAAGAAAATGTATGAGAAAATTGTTGCATTTCTCTCGACCGTCATGACCACCGAGTTGTAATATTACTTAGACGATACATCCCCCCATCCACCTCTCTCTTTCTCTCACTGTCTCTCGTATGTTCTCTTCATTTTCTTTCACTTCGTTGAAATATACCGAATGTGTTCGGTACGATGCTGTTCAAGACTTCTGTCTCACGTGACCCGGTCGATGTCTTAACGTCGAGGACAAGTGTAATTATATCACAGACGAAGGAGAAGAATCGAAGCAGCAACGACGGCAACCGGGGGAGTTTCTACCAAATCTTAGCAGCAAGGGCTCTCTGCATTAAAACATTCTTGCTTCGCTGCTTCATGCGCTCAATGAAGTACTCCTTGCCGTCCAGGTTCTCGATGTCAGGTCCAACCTCCTCATTCTAGCAACAAACGAGATTTAGTTGGCTCCTAGGTCGCGTGTTCCTTGCACGTGTGGCTCATCACCATCATCATCATCATCATCATTATCCTCATCATATACTCCTCATTATATCATCATCCGGATTATCATGATCGTCATCACGAAGACAGGCTGTTCTTTTGGGAAAGCCTACGCAGAAGAGACCTAACCAACCTTGTTAGTTGTGTCGCCCCCCTCGCCCTCTCCCCACCTCTCGTAGTCATCATCGTCCCTCTCTTCGCCCTCGCTCAAAGGTCCGTCTTGCCTCTTGCTAGGAGGTACGTTCGATCCTCCACCACCCTGTTGATGCTCCATAACATCGTCACCACCCTCGAGCATCTTGTTGATTTTCTCTTTTGCCTCGTCAACCTTTCTCATTGGGTCAGGTGAATAGCTACGATCGCTGTAACGATCGCGTGAGGCGGCGCGACGATCCCTGAAGTCTCGTCTGTCCCTGAAGTCGCGGAAGCCTTGTTTATTGTGGAAGAATCTACCACCACGATTGCCGCCGCGTCCTCTTCCGCCACCGCGGTTGTTGAACCCACCGCCGCGTCTATTAGCAAACCGATTGTTGTGCTGATTATTGTAGAACCGGTTGCGATTCTGGAAATTATTGCCACCTCCGCGATGGTTCGGGTTGTTGAAGCCTTGGAAGCGTGGTTTGTAGTAAGTGCCACGGTTGTTGTACGGTCTGAACTGTCTCTTGCGGTAGTAACTCCTGTCGCCGGACCTGCTGCGACTACGACTCCTGGTGTACGATCTGGACCGTGACCTAGAGCGTGATCTACTGTAAGTGCCTGACGGAGACCGACTGTATTTCCTTTCGTAACTGCCTGATCTTCTATTCGAGTACGATCGAGATCGGCTTCTCCTGGGCGATCGAGATCTCGAAGAACCAGAACTGGAGGCACTGCGCGACCTGCTGCGTGAACGTTTCGCTGGACGATCCCTACTCATTCTCTTGGACACACCACCTCTACCGCTAGATTCTCGTTTTTTAGGCGTCTGTCTGTGTTGCCGTTCTGCTTCGCTGTCGGAGTCTGTTCTGGGACCTTTGGCTTGATTCTGGTTCTTTGTTGGTGGTGGTGGACGTGGTGGCTCTGGCGGATGACCAACACCACTGTTACCACTCTGTCCGATTGGCTGGAATTTTCCGCCAAGATTGTTCGAGCTGAACTTCGTTGGTGCCGCCTGTGGCGCAGACAACGAGGGGTCTTTGTACGACTGGAACTTATTCTGAGGCTGCGGTGTAGGATACTTCACCGGCGCCTGTTTCGGTATCGGTGGTTCTTTGGGTAATGGCGGAGGTGTCGGTGCGGACATTGGCTGAACTTGTGCCGCTCTCTTCTCCGCGAGTTCGCGCTGCATTTGTTTTCTGATGTTCATGGACTTCTCCAAAGCAGCACGCTGCAATTTCTCTTCAAGTTCGTTATCGTCGTCCTCCTCGCTGTCCACATTTGGCTGCATTTTTTTACCTTCCGGAGCAACATCTTGCCACTTCTGAGGCATAATGTCCTTTTGCCTAGATGTAAAATATTTCCATGAATAATTTTTGTATGTAGAAAAATTTATAATTATCTATTACGCGATAAACGTACCTAGCAGCCTGTGCAGCCTTCCATTTGGCATTCAACGCAGCTGTATCTAGGGTGGGTAACTTTGGCTCGGGATGAATTAACTGTGACTCCTGCTCGAATATATCCGTTAGCGGTTTCCGTTGAATCTCTGCGAAAAGATCGAAATCTGCATTAAGTTAAATATAGCATATATAATATACTGTCCTTTTTTTAAGAATTCAAAGCGTTACCTTTGCGTTGCTGTGCGGTCATCGGTACTCTAGATTCCCGTTCGTGATACGCCTTCGAAGCCTCATCTCTCTCCCTTTCCCTCTCCCTGCGTAGCTCCTCCTCCCTTCGGGAACTCTCAGCGAGCTTCTCCGCGTTGCTAAGAGGGGAAGGTATGTCATTATACTGAGCTACATACCTAGTAAATATAAAAACATAAATAAAATACGGCGCGTTATAGACCGCGTTTCTATTCATGTTTTTTTTTTTAAATGATCTTAAATGCGGGAAGCTTAGCTAATCGAAACAAAATGCAAAATTTACAGAAACATTAAACCGCACAATTGTGCAAAATTGAAAAGTTTAAAAACGAAATGTTATCGTGAACTGGCTGTAAAGGTTCCAACCTTTTCAAAACAGCGGTCTCTTTTTCAACTTTTGCATAGTACGCATTCAATTTTGACTCCAACTGTTCCAAATCCGGCAACGACGACTTTTTCAATGCTTCCAAATCCCGTTCAAGCTTATCTTTGTTCTTCCGTTTCTTTCTCTCTTCCTTCTTCTTTTTCTTTCGACTTTTCTTGTCCTCTTTTTCCTTGTCTTTCCCCTTCTTTTCTTTCTTCTTCTTCTTCTTCATTTTCTCGCTTTCTGAATGTTTCTTTTCCTTTTCCCTTTCTCTCTTCCACCTAGCAGTTTCCTCTAAAAACTTCCTTACCTAATTACACAACAAATAAATAAAACCCACGATTCGGTAAATACAACAGGTTAGATACGTAAAAAACAATTATCGTAAGAAACAATACTTACCTTATCTTCGTAATCAGAGTCGTCTTTAGTCTGTTCTAAAAACTTTCTCACTTTTATCTCGTAGTCGTCCATCTTATCGCGGGCGTTTGAGGTATACGCAACAGGCGCTATCACATCGTGAGCAGCCGTGGTAGCAGCTGGTGGATTGTTGTACTGGGCCATGCGTTTGCTCAAAGGCGACAGAGACCCACGATGATCTTTCTTATGCTTCCGTTTGCGACTAGGCGATCGGGATGCTGATCTCGAACTTCCAGATGAAGAAGAACTGCTGGATTCCGAGCTGGAGGAGCTCGAAGATCCACTCGATGATGAACTCGAGCTGGAACTCCACCTCTGTCTCTTCTTCGATCTCGACTTTCTCTCCTTCTTGCGTTTCTTCTTCTCCTTTTTAATTTCACCGACATCGTTCTCGGCCTCAAAACTCTTGAACGTATCCAAAGGATTTAAAGTGGTGGTCAAAGTCTTGGATTTGATGTACTCGATCGAGTTCCTAGCTTCTTCGTGGTAAGGAGCGATCGCCAAGCAATTCTCGTACGCTTTCTGTGCATCTTCGTACTTTTTCTCGTCCTCGAAGCTTCGACCTAGAGCAACTAGAGTCTCTGCCATGTATTTGCGGGCGTTGGCGTGAGTCTGATTCAACTTCAACGCAGTCTCGAAGTCATCGATTGCTTTCTTGAAACTTCCGCTGTTGGCGTATCTGTAAAAGGGAGTTACAATGTGTACACAACATGAGTAAATACACTGCCGCAAGATTCTATTAGCATGTGCAAATTTTAGCAACTCACAATGCTCCACGCGCTACGAGTCCTTCAACGTTTCGTGGATCTACGGTCAGTGCTTTGTTGAGACACTGAAAGGCTTCTGTATGGCGGCCGGCCTTGAAGTGGTCTATTCCTTCAGCCACGCTTCGAAACGCCCACTTACTAGCTTGCGCCTGCCTTAATTCAGACGCATACTCATTAGGTGGAAATCTTTCCCTGCAAAAATTGCAACGAAAGATTATAGCATTTATTTTTCTTGTTTTACTTAAATACAGAAACAGAACATCTTCAAAAATTCGATGCCTTACCTTAAACCAACCATATTGGAATGGTTCTCTTGGCCAAGGCCCATCAAGTCGCATAGATATTTAATGTTGTTGGGGTTGTTGAAGCCAGTACTATTCTCCAACATCGCTTCGTATGATTGGCCCTTGTTGTCCATAGCTTTCCTATACCACAAAGAGAAACGATCGATTATTGAGATGCAAAGATCGTCTTGACCTTTGCCAAAGAGAGGATACCAAAGCTACTTCGTTAACGGTAAAACTAAAGACTTGATAATCATGACGACCGAATCTTCGTGTTTATTTGTCCTGGGTTCATTATTATCCTCGTAGAGGGTTTCTTTCGATTACTGATCGTAAGTTTGCCCCTTCGGTCTGTTTTCGACATCTCGTCGTCTTATCTACAGTTATACACATATATATATATATATATATAAGTATGCATGTGTCCTTCAGCTGCTGTTTCTTACACGTGTTTTAAACGTGCGGCACACTCCTCTCACCATTTCGTTCATCCCTGCGTAACAATTTCTGTCTCTTCCTTTTCGATCTACATGAATTATTCAACGATACGACACTAATGCCAAAGATGCTTCAGAGGAAATAGGATTTTTCTTCCGTTCGGATGAAGAGAGAGAAAATAGAGAGAGTGAGAATAGTTATACACCTCATGGTATTAGAGTCGATCAAAATCTATGTTTGTACCGTTAACAAGCAGCAGGGGTCCGTAACAGGGATACATTGCGGAAAGTTGGTAAGTTTTCCTTTATTACCAGAGATAATTTCTTATTTATAATTTACAAATGGTACACAACCTCATTATTATGTAAACTCGTCTCTCACCTTTCATGTACCGCTAAGACGTATATTTCTAGTATTTTGTATCATGTTTGTAATCAGAGGAGTTCTCAACACAAAAGCACACAGCCTATCATCAATCGACGGTGGTTCGGTATTTTTACAAGTATTTTTTTTGGTGCGATAAAATAAATTGCATAGCCCTAGGATAGGTTGGGAGCCACGCCTGAGTATATTTTATCTTCCAAGTTGACCAAAAAAATTTTTTTAGATGTAGTAGTAGTAGTACTGTCGCCTGTTTTTGCATTTTGTGGTGTCAATTCAAACATGACATCATTTTTTTTATATTTTTTATTTGTCAATTTAAGCTGTAAGTTTAAATGAGGCATTATTATGACAAGGCGCGATTCTTTTGAGGCTTAAAGGTAAAGGTTCGGGCGATTAAGATTTCAGTTGTTTGGTCTCTGCTTTAAGTTCTGATTCATATTATCAGAATCTTGCTACACTATATGGCACGACACAAACGTGAAGAGTATGGTAATAATGCAAAGAAAAACAGAAAACTGTAAAACACCGGATAAATTTTTGTTTCAGTTACCTTGGTACTACATAATACTATAGAAAATGATTCATCGATTAATTACACTTTTCTCAACAGTATGACTGCATTTATTTTAATAATTACTTTATCATTCATTTAGAGACCAAACAACAATGAATCATTATTATACCTACCGTCTGCAGCACTCACTCTGACCACCCAAGGCTCAACATCTCATACTGGAAATGCAACCTCAAAAGACATTGATGTCATTTTGGCGCCATAGTTTGGCTGGTGCTTTGAGAGTAACATATCACAAACGTAGATAGAATATTGTGCGCAACAGAGCCATGTCAACCAATGCTCAAGGTTTGAATCATTTGTATCACATTAGAAATTCATCATCATACTGACTATCAACTTTTACGTTACTGAGAGTGTCTGGCACCTAAATTCATAAAAACGTGTAAGAGGAATCAAATCTAATTTACCTTGTTTTGTTAGTATCACAGTGCGTCTGTTAAATCTCAACTTCTTTTGGCCGCCATATAATTTTCCTTACCTTCTTTTTTTTTCATTAACGATAAAACATAGTAAACAAAACACTAATGAATCAAGAAATCTGTACTCTCATGTATTATGCAAGTTACAAACAAGATTATCTATACTCTCGATAGAAAATACATTTTGTTATCGATGGAAATTATTATCAATCCTAAATCCAAAACTACCACTGTCAGAGAAAGGTCTCCCCTTACCCCGCGTTAGTGCAACAGTGCTCTCAAAATATATCGCAATAAGCAAATAATCACAGAACGATTTTTTTAAAATTAAAATAGGAATGTTCAGACAAAAGTGCTACGGATGCATCACAAAACACTTTTACCGTTCATATTGTGTATATGAGATTCCCTATAGTGATATTCATGTCGGTTTACAAGAGTTAGTGAAGCATTATCGTAAAATACAAGAAATAATTGTACTTATCCGGACTTTACATTACTTACTTATATGCTTCTGGAAGGTCATCAGAATGGATAAGTCCCATAGGTGGGTGTGGGGCTTGCCCTTCACGGGCAGGTACGTTCATAACTGCAACAACTCGCTCAGCTTCAACGTTAACTTCACTGACTACGACGCAGATGAGATCATTTGCCATGTAGCTTCTTGTAACACCTTTCTTGTCCACCGCCGGCACTGTGGCCGTGTTCAATATCAGAGCCTATAAATTAAATAATATTTTGTAAGACTGTAAAGTACAGAGAAGAGCATTAGTATAATTGATTAAAAATGGCTTGATATACCTTTACTCCTAAATCAGTAACAACTCTGGGGCAGTCACTGCAGTTGCAAAGCACCTTCAGAAGAAGCCCAGCAGCACTTTTACCCATTACTTGCGCGTATATAACATCTCCAACCACCAAACTCTGAAAATTATATTGATAATATATATAACTTGTGTAACATTATATAATTGAATTTATAGTATTCATATGAAAACTAATTACCTCCAAAAAATTACGTATACGTTGAGATTTTTCCATGGTGACAAAAGTGTCTAGGCCAGGCATTGTTGCATAAAATTCTTAAAAAAAAAAACGTGTATTCCATAAATTGTGCAATGTTACGCAACACTTACAACACTGAGTCTGAATGAAAATAAACCACATTCCTACCTTCATCCCCTAATTCCTGCTTGATAGGATCAACTGTTTTCTCCAAATTTGACTTATCATAGAGGGCATCTGCCTTCTTTGCAAGGAATTGTTGCAGCTTTAGCCTTTTCCCTCTATCACCAAAACTGCAATAAACGAAACACCCAAATTGTAGAACACATTTGTATCAGAACAAATTTCTATAATGGCGTATAACAGTACACATGATAGAATAAATACCTAAGTGTCTTTTGCCGCTGTTGATAGATCTCAAAATTTGGTTCCTTGAGATTGAGCATGGCCAGCTCATTTTCGTTGCGTTCTCCCTCCCACACTTTCTGCAACTGTTGGCCATGGTAGTTCAATGCTTGTGCCACAAGATGTGCATCCATTGATTCCATTTTGATTCAGTACTGCAAGCAACCTAGTCCTGCAATACTATGAAAATCGGCAAATTCGTAATGGTTTTCCATTTGTAGAGTGCCAAGATACTATCCAAATCAATAGGTAAGACTTTAATAGTTGCCTCTCCGACCGATTGTCCGAAATTGGCATGCAAAAAAGGATCATCGTCCAACAGCCAAGGACACGTGTTTTTTTTTGTAATGAACAAATCACTATCTCTCCACGATGTGATTATCCAGAATAATTCCGGTATTGAAATCGGCTGAACAGTTCGGTCGAATTCTATCGGCGAAAACTCAGATCTCGTACGGGTTTTCTGAGTACCGTGAATCATATCACCAAAAAGGGGCGGTATTCACTGAGCAAGAACGCGCTCAGATAGAAAGCGAATTACCAAGAACCGGTTTCCTCAACGATTTACCTGTAGCCGTTGATATTCCTCCAGCGGATCGTAACAACGACGAACAGAATAAATCCGTAGGATATTCTTTATATACAAGAGAAACGCTTACGCAGGAGGAAAGGCGCGTTATATTGATTTATCGGTAACAAGATGGTCGTCGGGAAGCCGGATTGCAAAGGCCAACGGCGCCATGACGCTCCCCAAATGGCCACCTCTTTTATTCCGACGCTCATCCACGCCCGTTTTGCAAATTGGCCATACCATATCGGCCAGAAAAGAACCCGGATTGTTACTTACCGTTACGCCCGTATTATCTTCTGACGATCTGTTTATGTGTTTTCCAATTATATCACGGTCCACTATGCAACATCGTCGACGATTAAACAACTGCGCGCCTGAATTTCACCATACGCCGCATACAAGTCACGATTACACCAGAACCGGAAACGAATAGGCCCAGTCACGCTTGCGTAAAACGTTCTTTCCCCCACCCTCTACTTCGATGTCGACTTTACAACACTTCCGGTTTGGCGGCGCAATTCAAATTATGTAGTGCATATTATTTACGAAGGAAGACAGGTTAATTACAGTATGTACAAGGAACAACGAATACGACTTCTATGACCTTTTTATTTGCATTTTACATGATAATTGGCTGGAATTTTTTGAAATGTTTGCACTTTCTTTGTGAAAATAAAATCTTCACCTATCTTTTACTTCTAACGTTAGAATACTCATTTATTTTTGCTCAATGCTGTAGTTTCATTTGTTGAACTTCCAATACCACTAGGATACAAATTATTGAAAAATTTACTTATTGAATTTTCTTTGTTTTCTCTTTACACGATACATCCACGTTCCAATAATACAACATTTGGGATACTATTACTGCATTTGCAATTGTGGAGCATATGTACATTATTATCATCGTCATGTCTCCAGTTTCTTGGATAGAAGTAAATATTCTTATTAAAGATCCTAGGAAAAGCATGAAACCAGTTACTGCTGATAACTGACCAGTGCTTCCATTGCAATAATTTGTGCGAGCTTGAATTAACTGCAATATAAAGTATTAATGATCCACTACCTTTGAACATTATATAATCCTTCATTTTTAAACATCATACCTTACTAATGAGAATAATGGGTATATTCATTGCTTGGCATGCCCACAGAATGTTTACTGGGGTCAACCCACTCACAGCAGTAGATACTACTGCTACATACGCAGCAAGGAATGCAGTTGCTTGAGCAGTATTCCCGCTAAAATGCATTACTAAAACTGCAATGGCCACAGTTTGTAATCCCAAAAAAACTCCATCTCCCCAGGCACTGAAACATATTTGCATCCATAAACAACTAGAGCTACAATTCATTTAATATTATCTATTTCTTCTTGAAAATTACATTACCTAAAGGGAAAACCACTGACAAAGCTATAAGATACCATAGCAGTGATAGCAAATAGATCCAACAACACACTTAGAACATTAATACCTTCCGCACTTTTACTCTGAAGAAGTTTTAAAATTTGTGGTACTTTGACTACAATGATAATAATAATTTAATGTTAGTAAAATAGCATTATTTGAAATTATAATACACAATCACGTATAGTCTTTGAAGTCTATATAATCCAGCATAAAATTTCATCAACATATTATTTAAACATAAATATTCTAACCGAGAATAGAGCCGCTGATAATTCCAAAGCCTAGAACTGTGCTGAGCGTCGCTTTGAAGCATTCCACTGAAACATTTTGAGGATTTTCTTGTTTAACCTGAAGGAGTTCGTATCTTTTTCGTAAAAAATTCATTGTAACTTCCATGAAAATTTATTTCTATCGTCGCGAAGGAATAACAGACTTAAATTTACCATTAAAAAATGTGAACATCGTCGAGCGATCGTTCTGAAACCACCAATTCGATGGCTCGAAAACGTAATATTTTATATAATTCCTTGCAAATCGTATATGAAATTTGAGCTTCTACAAATACCCATTATAGCAATAATATTCATTATTGCAACATATATGTTCTTACAGATTAATAAATGAAATTATCAATAGATTATTTTTCTTTATTGGAAACTTAAGTTTCCTCTTTTTGAATAGTTCCCTCGGAGATTCATACGCAATGTTCCGACGGTATGGTAGTAGCAGACGCCGTTATAAGTATACTCATCTACTTACTACTTCATAATGAAACCAAATGAAACCAATATTCTTACCGTGAAGGAAATTGAACTCATCGAAGTACTCCTCGATACATTTTTCCGAAAATATTATGAGAGCGGCTTTCCTCAATACTTGAGCCATGTTTGCCACGAGATACGGTCTGTGTCACTGCTTCGTGGAATGTGTAATCAACTTTTTCTGACCGCGATTAGGTTAGCAATTATCTACATATAGGGATGAATCGATACAAGTAAATACGAGTACATTACTCGATACTTTTGTTTCGATACCGAGTACTTTTTATAACAAAAGTACTAGTATCGACCTGTGTAGTAGCACCGACAAGGTATAGTATAGATCTATCATCCAATGCTTTTTTCTGTCCCACGTTCGGAGGGCTATGTAACTCTCTTATCATTTCGGTGTCAATACCCGACGTTACCGATACAGCATGAATTGTGAGTATTATTAGCACAAACGAAGTGTTATATATTCCATTGATAATATGTACGTGTATCCAATATGATTTGGTGGGAATAAAAATATTCGATGCTCGGTTTAAAGGATGAATATAGTACTGATGAAATATCACGCGCGAAGTACATATTTTGTCACTTATCTAAAAGACAACTTATTCTAAATTAATTGTTAATGGACATTTTAGTAATGTTACTTTTTGCACGTTCCTCCTTCATTCGTTTTTAGATATTTTTTTTATTTGATAGATAGATCTGAAGATATAAGAATCTTAATACACACAATCAATTACCTTCTGGCAATTGGTGAGAGAGTAATTAAATAAGAACTTCGACTCAACTAGAGCTCAGCTAGTCAAGTTTCCTCCATAAAGAATAGTTTTGATCTATTATTTAACTGGTACTATCTATTGTATTGTATTTCATAAACTTTGGCATCATTGCCAAATTGACTTGATTTGTTTGATTGCAAACTTCGAGAAGACGCCAACAAAATTAATATTGGTCCAAATAAATTTGCAATATTATGCATATACGTATATGGCGAAGGCGACGATGTTCTCGTAAAATCTGCAATGGAAAAGCCGGAAAGCTTCGCTAGATCTGCAGTAGAAAAATTTGCCAACTTCGTTAAGTCCGAGAACTTCGAAATTTGTTGAGTTATGTCCGCTAAAGGATAATCGGGTGGTGTAGATGAACGTGTTTTATTAACACTATTATCTGTCCCAAGGGGATTCGGCATCTTTGAAAAATCAGCTGGTGGAAAATCGTAGTCACATTTCGTATTCTTTACAGAGATTTTCAATCCTCCAGACTGAAAGCTGGGCATCACTTCCGTGGGCGATATGTGTTGCTTAGATGTTGTAGAATTTCCATCTTTGATCTGTGTGATTGATGCAAAATCTGTAGTTATGATATTATCTTTTTTAATACTATCTCTAGAAGTGAATGGTTGCATTACAAAAAGCTTAGATGTTGGAGTAATTATTGCACTATCAGGTTTAAAGTTCACAGGAGTAAGGAAGACAGCTGCATGGGTGCAAGTCCAAATCCTGGTGGAACTGATGGAATAATTGGTTCTGAGATTGAAAGAAATTCTGGGGAAGTTCCATCTTCAGAACCAGAACAAATCATTTCTCTAATTACATCCCAATAAGAACCATTCGATCTATTTCGTTCCGGTAATTTTGACGCGAGAGAACACTGTTAATACAAATATGGTTTAGTATACATGGTGTAACTTGAACATCATTTATTATATACCTACCCTCAAACGTTCAAGATATGTTGTATTGTTGTTAAAATTAGCAGTAAAATCAATACCTCCCTCACTTCTATAATATTCTATACATCTTCTCTGTAATAATGGACATAGCACTATATTGTGTGATCTATTGTGATACTTAGAATAATTGTATACTTACTATTTCTTCTGATGTGTCTTGAGAAAGAAAGTGCTCTTGAGATAATTTGTAACTTAACAACATTGGCCTTGGATATTCATGAAATCGATTTTCAGGGGGTGGCAAAAAACAAAAAAACATTGAAGTTAGATTCATAGCAACTGCTATCGGTGTTGTAAGGAGTTGAAACCAAGCATATTACTTTTTAATCTATGTAAATTTAAACATATTAATCCTACACATGGAGTGTATCCATTATCACTAGGCCCTTTCATTTTAATCTGACAATTTAACTGAGAGTCAACATCTCTAAGTGAAGGGGAGGCATGAGACCTAGGACCAGAATGACACAATCCAACTACAGTGACCTGCTTCCATTCCATAGCTCTTGCAATTTCAGCCTCAACTGCAGCTGCAGCTGATTTGTCTTTACCAGAATACCAGCATGGAAAGGCAGTTGATATTGACAAATCTATAATTGAAAAAAGTTCATTCCTTACTTTTTAGAAAAACATATTTATATAATGTTTTATGGATATACTTACTATGTGAATTAATATCCCAGTGGCCACCAAGATAGCCACAAACTTCTTTATCTGTTAAATGACATTGTAAGTCTACTAGCAAAGCAATAGTAGTTGTTATTATAACTAAAAAAGGTAGTATCTTCCCAAGTGTACTAAAGAAAGTAAGTTCTACCATTGTACTCATGTTCCTGCAACATACATTGTCAGTAATATATTTTACAAAATATTTACTTTTTTCATTCTCTTACATAGCATGGCTTCTTATTCCAAAATTTGCACGATTCACTGGTACCCGTACTACTTGCATTGGAGGACTAGTTTGGACCTTCTCAAGACTTTCTTCCATAGGCTCTGTGCTTATTTCCATTTTGTTTTGTTTTTTATTAGTTAGTATTTAAATTAGTGGATATAATAAACAATAATTACTTTATTAATATCAAACCATAACTGACAATTATAAAATACACTACATTTCATGATGATAATAAGTATACTTTAACTAAGCAGTGGAAGAAAAATGTAAATACTGCAAGTTAATTATGATTCTGTATACTATCATATATTATGTATTATTGAAAAGTATTTTCTCACTGTAAGGCTGTAAGGTAGTTTTATCATAGACAAGGTACATGTAAAAGTAGACTTATCACCCTACGGACTTCGTGGACCAAGGAATCTGCAGTACCAACCCTTATAAAAACTGTGATTCTAAAGGTCTCTACTTTGCAATAACGTTGAATTTAGGAGTTATATTCGACCCAATTCGAGTTCAACTAATCAAATTTCTGCAGAATTACCAAGCCTACCTTTTCTTTCATTTTTAAACGGGGGAAAGTTTTTATTTATTAGATATTTAATTGGCAACATCACTCCGACATTTCATAAAGTTTGGCGCTATTGTCAAGTTGAGGGGCAATAGTCGCCACAGATGGCGTTTAGGAAATCATCAGCAGTTTGAAAACTTCGAGACAATGGTATTAAAAACATAGTGCAACATCGTACACTAACGTTAGCCATCTACATAAAACGAATTGGAATAATAAATTTTCGGGGATAGGTCGGGATATGTACGTAGTTGAATTCTCTTGTTAATCGTAGAGTATATTAACAGTTGGTGCTGAATGTATTGGGATGCGAGTTTTCTAAAATTGATCAACCAGGGGCACAAAACATGCGACTCTGGTATTGTTTATAACCAAAGGACTCCTGCGAAATTTCTGTAGCATCGTGTTTGTGCCTCCGTTTTTCTGTTTTATGAGTAACATTCCTCGCTGAATTAATTTCGGGTGTACATAAGAAACATGAATTGGAATATGTATAATACGGTAGTGCGTATTATATTTCGTTGAAATTGGAAGTGGAGTGGGGAAAGAAGGCTTTAATCTTCAACAACCGAACCACCAATCACGAATTTCGTAATATACCGAATCAAAGGATCTTAGCCAGTCACGGACAGCCTAAGGGTCACTCGTTTTGGAGAAGTTAAAGTGATTAGACGTGAAGTGGTCTCGCTCTTGCTGAAGTACGTTATCTTTACCTTTCACTTCTAGTCATTTATATTATTAGTACCTTTGTTAGCTCACCATCGTTACTTTCGTTTAATATTTACTCAATTCAGTATAAATAATCGTAAATTCATTCGATATTGCTGTCCAAAGTGAAGCGGTATTCGCGGCTTCTGTCCTCTCCCTGATACCAATTCGTATTTACGCAGTTTTTGTTTAATTTGCAATCTTTGGCGACACTCTTCGAGTCAATAATTGTTAATTTTATGATGTAACCATTCTTGATTCAATTTAACTGCATGGAATGAATGTTTATTTTCTGTTTCAGAATTTCGGTTGGAAAGAACGCGCTACCCACGCAATGGCCGTTGACTGTCCGTTCGGACGTAATTTGGCGGGAAATTGGTGAGGTCTGGCAATTTGTAGTAACAAGTAGGTGACACTCCACTATATATTCTTATTTTATCGTGCATTTTGTTTCAACCGAGAGCATGATCGTGATTTCGTTAGTTATTATGCTAAGATCGAACGAAAATTCTTTCCGTAAATACTGTAAATTCAAATGCGCATTTTAACCCTTCAAGATGGCTTCCTCGGATTTTACAAAGTTTAAATGACAGTACTTCTACACAATCAAATTTGAAATACTCGCAATTTACTGTATCCCAGTCGCGAAATCGTTTAAATATTACTAATTGTACGAGTCTATTTATGAGTGACATTCCTTGCTGAGTTAATTTCGGGTGCACATAAGACAAATGTATTGGAATATGTATTATACGGTAGTGCATATTCTATTTCGTTGAAATAGGAAGTGGAGTGGGGAGGGAAAGCTCCAATCTTCACCAAGAGAACCACCAATCACGAACCTCGTAATGTAACGAATCAAACGATCTTAGCCAGTCGCGGACAGCCTAAGGGTCATTCGTATCGGGGAAGTTAAAGTGATTAGACGTGAAGTGATCTCGCTCTTGCTGAAGTACGTTATCTTTACCTTTCACTTCTAGTCATTTATATTATTAGTACCTTTGTTAGCTCACCATCGTTACTTTCGTTTAATATTTACTCAATTCAGTATAAATAATCGTAAATTCATTCGATATTGCTGTCCAAAGTGAAGCGGTATTCGCGGCTTCTGTCCTCTCCCTGATACCAATTCGTATTTACGCAGTTTTTGTTTAATTTGCAATCTTTGGCGACACTCTTCGAGTCAATAATTGTTAATTTTATGATGTAACCATTCTTGATTCAATTTAACTGCATGGAATGAATGTTTATTTTCTGTTTCAGAATTTCGGTTGGAAAGAACGCGCTACCCACGCAATGGCCGTTGACTGTCCGTTCATACGTAATTTGGCGGGAAATTGGTGAACTCCGGCAATTTGTTATAACAAGTAGGTGACACTCCACTATATATTCTTATTTTATCGTGCATTTTGTTTCAACCGAGAGCATGATCGTGATTTCGTTAGTTATTATGCTAAGATCGAACGAAAATTCTTTCGATGAATATTTTAAATTCAAATGCGCATTTCAACAATTCAAGATGGCTGCCTCGGACTTGACAAAGTTTAAACGACAGTACTTCTATACATTCAATTTTGAAATACTCGCTATTTACTGTATCCTAGTCGCGAAATCGTTTAAATATTACTAATTTTACGAGTCTATATTTATGAAATCATCGTATTTGCATTTATGTGCAGTTTCGGTAGTAAGTTTGATTATGTAGAAGCTGCGTAATTTATCATACACACTGAAGCATGGGTAAAAATTGAAAGTTTTATATTTGTAATGTTTTGAATATTTATGAAATTCGAAACGTGGTTTAGACAGAAGTAACGAACATGCTTACAACTCTAACAACTTTAATATAGTATATTAGTAGTAATTATACATGAACAATGATTATGAATGTAGTAACTATTCTGTAATACTTTAACACTGAATATTTTTTAACTATTGCATAGTTAAGCTGATATTTGCACATTTAACTTTATATTTATCATTCAAAGGCTTACTTATATTTACTCTATTCAATTACAGCAGTTAGAACTTTGAGAAGAGATAATAACACATGTTGTTCCCGTTTTTTCAGATTAATCACACATAATTTGTCACTGAATACTCAAGAAGATCACCTCAGCCAAAACCTGGAATTTTTCACATATTTCACCACTGAACACTTAAAAAGATGTCCTTGGGCAGAGCTCCACCATCATAGAATGTAAGAATCTTTATATTTTATTACTTATATTATGCAGTCAATATATATAGAACTTTGAGAAGAGATAATAACACATGTTGTTCCTGTTTTTTCAGATTAATCACATAATTTGTCAATGAATACTCAAGAATATGTCCTTAGGCAAAGCTTGCATTCTTCATATATTTCACCACTGAAGGCTTAAGAAGATGTCCTTGGGCAGAGTTCTACCATCATGGAATGTAAGAATCTTTATATTTTATTACTTATATTATGCAGTCAATATAGCTAGAACTTTGAGAAGAGATAATAACACATGTTGTTCTCTTTTTTTCAGATTAATCACATAATTTGTCACTGAATACTCAAGAAGATGACCTTAGGCAAAGCTTGCATTCTTCACATATTTCACCATTGAACACTTAAGAAGATGTCCTTGGGCAGAGCTCCACCATCATGGAATGTAAGTATCTTATATTTTATTACTTACATTTTGCAGTCAATATAGTTAGAACTTTGAGAAGAGATTCCAATGTATTTTGTTCCTTTTGTCAGATTCTTCTCGGGGACACGAGATTCTTCCCATATTCGGAGCCCTTCTATCATCGGGTGAGTCGCATGCTTTTTGTTCCTCTGGTCCCTAATCATGCCGTAGGATGATAGGTCCGAAGCGGCACGGGTGACTGGTTGTATACGTGCTTTTGACGAGTACAGTGAACGCGGATATGCAATCATATCTGCGAGTAATAACATATTGATCTGTTGTGTTCCTTAGCTAGGCTAGGGTCTTCTTGTACGCCATGTTTACAATTAGTAATGCAATTTATAAATATTTTATATTACAAGTATATTTATGAGTCCAATTTTAAAAATTTGTAAGTTATTGATATAGAGGTGAATGTGATGCGAACGAAGTCACATTTCTTACTTATAATTTCTATCTCGTCGTCTGGTATCATTTATGAATGTAGAATAAAATACGATTTACATAACGAAAATTACTTAATATAGAAAATACAATAAATTCACAGTAGTCTACAACTACAGTCAGCTGGTACAAAAATAGTATTGAACTCATTAATGTGTAAAAGAAATGTAGACGATAGATTTGAATATAGAGTAGAAAAAACGGAACCATACCGGTATGTTTAAAATAAAGAGGAAAACATGGTGGTGCCTTCTTAGATGAGCATGTTGTAGCAGTTAGCGCAATACCACGAGACGCGACAGCATGTTTCAAAAACCGGAACCAGTGTCACAAGACACAAAGGTGTCATTCGTATTTGCAAGTTCCATGAACAGTGGAACACGTGTACTGAGAATCGCAATAAAGTATCGGTGCATAAAAAGAAGACGTATTAAGTTATGTCACCTGTGCATCGATATGCACGCCCTAGTGAAAAACCGCGTGTTATGGAACAATTTAACACGTTGTGCATGTATTACCATTGAAAAGTGCATTGCGATTTGCAGTTATCGTGGCCGGTGTTTTCGACGCCAATGGCAAAGAACACATTCGGTCACGTACACGGGTAGAGTATCGAAACGTACTGGCGTGTACTCACGACCATTTTAATGGAGTGTGAGCGTTAAATGCAGGGAAGGTACTACTGTGTTTCACCAGCATGTATAGTGTTCCATAAACATATTGGTATGGTAGAC